TACTATCGCAGATATTATTGAAGCTGTACGATCAAAATTTCGAATAATTAAATATATTATTGGGTAGCTGAAAATATAGTACTGAAATTTTGCATAAACTGAAGTGGCAATACGACAACTCTTATTTCTGTGCGAACGTGTGTTCAAAAGGTGATATAAATTCTTTGCTCCGTGATTTTTATTCCATATTTCCCCAGTAAATGGTGCCATAGAAAAGGCTCAATAAAACCTAGATAATTTATTTAATTTCTTATAAAACAAAACAAGTGTAATTAAAGTCATAGTGCCCCATAGTCAGCTGAACCATATTTGTTTGCCCGTAGGATAATATTTTCGAACGGGTATGCTAAAGTTGACATGATAAACTATTTTTGCCGGGCTTTTTTCTGTAGTATAATTGGATTTATTGAAGTCTCCTGAAAGTTTAAACTAATTGTCAATTAAAATTAGCTTGGGTTTATCTCTAAGTTTTTTCATTAAAAGTTATAACATTTAGAAGAAGTTGTTTCATAAAAATAATAGAAATCTTTAGAATATTATAGAAAATTTAGACAATCGGTTTGGGAGAATCTTTATTTCCTAATAATGTAATCTTATACAAAAATTGAACATTTAGGTAGAAATTTTCAATAGGACTATCGATTGTTTTCCACACAAGATTTTTGACAATAATTTATACTCTACTTTGACCATGAGATGTACACGTTCCTAAAAAAGAAAAAAAAAAACACTAAGAAAGTAAAATAATCAATCAGCATTATTGTAGCCAATAAATATTCCAAAACGTGAAAAGAATCGCAAAAACTATAACAAGAAAAAATTTTTTTTGGGAAACACCTTTGTTATATTTGTAACTTAAAAGGAAGACATTGGTTGTGATCTTTAATGAAAGGTAGAAATTTGAAAAAAGAAATCCGTATGTATTCTCTTAGGCTGTTCATTGGAAAATTAAACTTCTGAAAGATAGACATAATCAGGGTTTTCACATAACTACCCATTTGTGCTAAATTTGTAATTTATGATTGAAGATTCTTGTGACAAAATTTATTAGGACTGCACACTTCTAGTGACATATGCATATAAGGAAAATAGTTTTATTATTTTCTTTAAATTCAATTTTCTTTAAATTTTCTTTAAATTCTTAATATTCAAAGTAATATAGTACTAATAAGCAATCCCGTTTATGAGTTTTAAACAATATGTAACAGTTCATATGCACATATTTTGACGAGAAAATCAATATTGTGAAAGAATATACATATTTATGTACAATGAATCAATGCCTTAAGTGGGGTACTTAAAAATAAATATCAAAGTGAAAAATTATCTTAGAAATACCATCATTTTGAAATTTATTAACTTAGAGATATCTTAGAAACTATATAGAAAAGCTGTGATATTGAAATTTACACAAGCAAATATATAAGTGGGACCAATGTGTTTGATAAAAGTCGTCAAAATTACTTGGCTGTTTTTGGTAGCAACTTCAATAGTTCAATAATAGCCATATCTTAAAAAATATGGAAAACACAGTACTGAAATTTTGCATAAATTAATATGGCTATAGGGCAATTTAATCTGTCCTACAGTCAGCTATGACATATTTATTCGCACATAGGATAACACATTCGTACGGATATCGCAAAGTTCCCACTGTCAACTCTATTTCTTCTCGTTTCAAAAAATATTGGTGTTGTTTTCTCTGAAAAGTTTTAATTCAATTTTTTGTGTTATGTTTTTTTAAGAAGAGTTTTGTAAAGAAAAAAAACCAATAAAATAATGTGATTGTATTTTGACATTTCAATTAAAATTTTTCTAAACTGAAGTTTTTAAATAAAATTTCAGGTAAGCTTTCCGCAGGAAAATTTCAAATACCTAAAATATGTTCGATTTTAAAAATATTTTGCTAACAGTCAACACCAAAAACTCTTTAAATTTACTTTTATTGGTCAACAATTAAAAATTGAAAAACGTTCTAATTTGAAAAATCAAAAAATTTGTTATTTGTGATGTAGAAAAGTTAAAAATGAAAAGCATTTGTGAGTGCTATAGCTTTGTTTTTACTTGAAGAGTTTGAAGTTACTCGAAATACTCATATTACATAAAACTTAATTTTTCATAGCGTGATTGATTGACAAGCTATCGCACTAACTATTGATATACAAATCATATGAGATTCTTACAAAAATTGTTCGAAATAGTTTTCTTCTTCCGTCCCGAGAATGTTAGACCTTGTTGAGGTTTTAGATTCATTTTTTAAATTACAAAATAAATTGTCGGTGAAATTGAGAAAAATTATAGAAAAAAACAAGTTATTTTTGCTTTTTATGCAAAACTATTATTCAATGAATGTCAATTTAAAATCATTTATTATCTATTGTATTACGTAAAGGTACACCTATATCTTTTTCCAAGCTTCGAAGTGATATAAATAATCGATTTATTGAAATATCAGAAAAACTCAATATGTACTAAAAATAGCATACATAAATATAGAATACAAGGAATGTAATAAATCTCTCAGCAGATTATAAAAAAATGCATCTTTTCATACACATTGAAAAATTGACTTGTTTTGTAATATTTTGAGTCTTTTATTTACAATATGTCAACATTACAGAATGAATTGCTTTTCGGAAAATTGTTTTGTAAAATCCGACTTTTATTTACAATAAACGTTTTGTCGATGAATGCAAAAAATTTTACGTAGTATTAAAATAGTATTGTGACATGAAAAAAGTAACGTGCGGTTATTTGCAACAAATACTGTTATATTAAGGAAATGTCAATTGCATTATTTGTTGTGTAACGTCGGTAATTATGAAATATGTTTTTTTGCTGAGTTGATATTTTCTTTAAAATAAAAAATCTGTTATATACTCGTAGATACATACACGTACACATATTATATGAATGATTTTAATATAATTTAATAATTGTGGAAAAATTTGGGTAAACTTAGTTTCATGTCCCTAAGTATTTCATTATTATATTTATGTGTTTTTTATGGATATAGTACATTCCTTGTGTGTAGATGTACATAATCTATCGTATTTGAATCGCAAATTCCATGAAATATGGAAAATAGGGTTTATTTGATTTACCTACAAAAATGAAATGTTTTTAATATAGATTCATTTTCCGTGATCCGACTTCCCTGCAAATTTTTTTATTTTATTTCTTTATTAACCAGAATTGAAATATTAAATTTCAAGCAATTTCATAAATAAATTTCTGAGGTTAATTCAAATATGTAAAGTCGGTCCTTAGTAAAAGTGTTGTTTACGAGCCCTGATATTCACAAAAATAAAGTTGGGTCAAACCAATGGTTTGTAATGTAGCACTCTTCCCTTCAACAAGTGAAAATACTGCTTTTAAAAACAACGTAGCGATGTACTTCATTATTAAAATTACTTTCATTCATTTTCGAATATATTTAAAAAATTGCATATATTTGGGATGAATCATTTATGCAGTCTTTGAAATACAGTAAAAGGCATGGCATTTTAACTATAAGCTTACTATAATGCCCAAAATTGAAAAGAAGTATTTAACAGGCATTTATGCAATATTCTGTGACACTTTCACTTAACTAGACAATACATATTGCGATCGATTGTGTGCTGATCACGTCAGATTTTGATGGTATTTTCAATTGTAGCAATATATGAAAACATGTGAAATTTTTAGTCGGTTTACATATCAATAATAAAGGTAATTACCATGAATATAGCTTTATAACATTTTTTTGGATAAATTAAATAATATCTGCGAGTCCAGATTTTCTATAAAAAAAAAATATTCTTTACATTTTATTCATTTCACAGTACAAACAAACGTAAATCTTAACAAACTTTTAAATAGGTGGAAACCGAAACAAAGAGCATAGTTTTTATATTATTTATTGTTTCTAGATTTACTTCTGGACAATTATTGTCACCATGATTTTTAAATATGTATGTATATATATGTATACATAAAAATGACGTCATTAACTATGTTTAATTTTATATTTTCTGAAACTTTTAAAAGTGGCATTCTCATGGCGTCATCACCAGGTTTAATGTGTACCCACGTCAAAAATTTTTCATTTTATGTTTATGTGTGTACATGCATATATCTAATGTACGTTATTTCTATACCTACATTTGTATAATGTGAGTTATTATAAATACATATGCTTTATGAGATTTACGTCTATACTTTACACTATATAATATGTATATGTGTAAAAATAAATCAATATTAATAAAAGCACGTGACTTGAAAAGAATAAAAAATTTACATTGTACACAATTTTGAATTTTCCATTTTGTTTTAAAACCTTTGAGAAAAATCGGCGAACATTTTTATTGTATTTATTCTGTTTTAGATAAAATTTGTACATTATGGGTTGCAGACACTTTTAAAAAGGATTTATTATATTTGTAAGGTAAATAAAAGATTTTTGAACAAATGAAAAAAAGTTTAGAAAAACTTTTTGGTTTTATTTTGTTGCAAACATACAAATTGTTTATTTTTAGACAATTTAAAATCTTAAGTAAGGGAAAACGTGCTTTCCGAGACTCGTCGCTAAATTTCAATTGCTGTTTGAAATATTTACCTATATATAAATATATAATAACGGTGACGAAACTCAAATTTTGTAACATAAAATTAGGTGACATCGTCTATCGCATTAAATTCAATTCATGAAAAAGTGTGTACTACATAAAAAACTAAAATCATTGAGGCACAGGCCAATATCTATATTAAATTATATAATTTGTTTAGAGGACTTGTTATTTTTATTATTTACTGTACGTTTATCACTACAAAAATCTGATCCAAATTTTAAATACAAAAGCAAATTATTGAAATATTATCTAAACTCTATCTCTCACCTCTGGTCTCGTAGATAGCTTCAATTGAATTTGTTAATGTAAAAAATTTTATGATTTTGTTAAATCTTTAAAAATCGTTGAATTTTAATATCAAATTTTGTTTTAATTTCATTACAGATAAAAGCATTAAACGTACTGAACGAAAATATTATGATCGATTAAGTATCGACTCAGATGACATAATATTTTCACAAACAAATATAAAAACATCAGAACACGAAAACGGTTTTCATGATTCAAATATAAAAAAATCTAAAACATTTCAAGATACAAATAATATGTTTGAGGATGACAAAGAATTAACATTAGATTTTTCTTGGAATAAAAAACTAAATTTGAGTACCAACAATAAACAAAAGGAAAAACAAAATCAACAAGATATTCAAACAAAACTATTAGATAATAAACAAGATGAATTACAGTTTATATTGGATAAGAATGCGAATTACATTAATCAAATAGAACCAATTACTACAATGTTAGAGGATGAAGATTTTGGTATGTTTAAAATTTCATAAAGAATTCTTTACAATATAATTGAAAAATTATAAATTATTTACATATTTATTTTACTATACACCTTTTTTCGCTGCCAATTTCTAAAATTAATCGAATCATTGTATGACAGACGAAGCATTAATTTGTAATGTTTGTGACAGTGAATTTGATTCTCCAAATCGGTTGGCGCAACATCAACAGAAGAAGAGACACTTTGGGTAAGAATTTTATTATATTAAATTCTAAAATAATATTTACAATGCCCTAACTTTATGTTTATGTTACGAAACCTATATAATCAATTTAATTTAAATGAATAAAAAAATTAATTTTAATTAATTGGATGATAATTAATAAACCTATGATTTTTCGTATTTGGTTGTACCAAACTGGCACTTTGGATTTTCACCACTGTTTTTTACATAATCGATTATAAATCGAAGTTTTTTAACAGTAAGTTTCTTAACTCTCTTAAACGATAAAAATAGCATTTCCTTCATCATTTTCAAAAATTAAGTTGCATCCTCAACTTGTTTCTTTTAAAACATTCAACTCTGTATAATAATATAATGGTACATAACATATATTTGTAAGTGTTATGTGTAATTAATTTCAATAATTTCTAAATTAGATCCAGGAAAAAAAAACATTTTTATTCAAAAGACTAATACCTAATAATAAATAAATTAAGGTTTATTATCATAATAAAATGAAGCTCCTTTGAAAAGAGTTTTTCTTTTTTTTTTTTACTGTTCATTAAATCTCTCTAAAGTATAAATAATAATTACCCTTCAGATTCAAAACTTTTCCTAATGTCCTTTCTTCTTTTATATTTGCTTTGAAAGTCTAATTGAAAAATATATTTATTTAACAGTTATTTTCTTCATTTATTCAAACATTTATTTTGTTTCATTTGCTTTTTCCATTTTGTGTAAATATTCTTTAGGTGTAATGAATGTGACAGCTTATTTACCTCTTTGATGCTATTAGAGCTTCATAAGGATAATTTTGAGCACTGGAGTACTTATGATACAAATCGTACACCTTGTTGTCGTAGAAATCGAATAGATGATTTTGGTGATACAGATTCATTTATAAGTGAGACAGCCAGTGAGGATTTGGAACGTTTATTATAAATTTACATAATATATGTATGCTTATAATATATAATATGAAAAAAGAATATATTGTATCATTAAATTTTATATTTGAATAATGTTAATAATTTGTTAAATAATGTAAATTTAGTTTGTAAAAGATGTAAATGTAGTTGATCTGTGATTATTAAATTGTAAATATATATAAAATAACTAAATTAGATAAAGCAAAAGATAAAGCAATTTGAATATAAATAAAGATGTTGTCATTGCCAATTATTTCCACTCTATATTAAATTTTTACAGGTTTGGTAGCAACTTTTGTATTTTCCTATCATATCTTCGTCAATATTGCCAATTGCCGATTGTTGAGGAAATAAAATCAGTTAGGTATATGTATACTTAAAATTTGCTACTAAAAAAATTACTTTAAATCAGTCGAGAGCGTTACATAGCGCTCTTTATAGTCCTAGTTACGAAGAATTCCAAATATTTAAAGTTCGTGGATGATTTTATGAATATGATGCTTGTGCTAGAGACTAGAAATTCTTTGTAACTAGGACTAGGAAATACAGACCAGACTAGACTAGGAAATATTGTTCTTGAAATGAGTAAAAAATAATTATTATTACTCTTTATTCCGCTGTTTGTTAAGTTCCGATTTAATTACAATTAGTTTAAAGTTTATTAAATCGAACTTGAAAAACCTTATATTTTATTATGAAATTATTTAAGGGTAATTTTGAAGTCAATAACATTAATTAATATCATTATGTATGCAGCTTAATAGAAGACTCAACGAAGAATAAAATTAAATTTTTTATTCAATAGTTTTCTTGCACATTTTTCACAAAGATAGAAAAAAATAAAAAAATTGGTTACCAAATATCGGGTTTTGAAGCAGACTAAATGTTAGATACTTAACTTCACTCTATTTTATGTAATCCTATTCTTATTAGCATATCTATTGGCTACCATATTATTTGCCATCGCTATTAAAACTGTATTGAAATACGACAATATAAAAGAAACTGTTTTCTAAAAATGTTTGCAATAGATTTTAAGCATCTATTAGTGAAATTGTTTTTGGAATCAATGAGGCATTGAAATGGACTCTCGTCCCGATTTAAACATGTTCTTAAATTTGGATGCAATAAATAACATGTCTGACATTAGGAAAATTTTCAGCGACAAATTAAATATTGCTGCTTTGAATCGTAATTTTAAACGTTCATTTCATTAAATGGCCAAAACTTTGTTCACTCACCATCATAACTCAAAGTTCCTTACCATTTTATTGTGAACACGCTTACATTTGATAAATCACCAACAAAATTCAATGCACATTTTAATGATTGTATGAAAGCATGTGCATATTGACTACAACAAGAATTTAATTGTATTGATTTTTGTTGAAGTGATCTTTTGTAAGATCCAATCAAAATTCAACTAATGATATGGGCTTAAGAATTTTGTGATTTGGAAAATGTAAATTGTTTTATAATCACATTATTCGTTCACTATTTACAAACTTTCAAAAGTTAAAAACAATTTTTAATCAGAAAATAAATTTACGTGACCAAAATTTTTATTCTTCACGAATGAATGCACGAAAATTTCGAAAAAAAAAACTATGTGAAAACGACACTGACATTTATTCCAATTACACTATATTATTATTTTATAAAAGGTATGTATGTATTTGAATGAATAAGTATACGTATATATAAGTATGAAGAGGTATGCGTATGTCAATTGAAGAACATTCCCATATCAAAAATCCTCCCAATCCTCCTTTTTTTCTGCAATACGCTATTATTCATGACAAATTTTTTAAAACAAATCTTAAATACATATTATTTTGAAACAGTAACTGTTTTTGATTAAAATTGACATATCAATTATCCTTTAATATTTAGTTCATGTGAAAAAAAACCATAAATTTATGTCCTTAAGCGAATTCACTTTATACATTTTGTTCAATTTGACTAGTCTAACTGACATGTCATTCATTCAAAAATGAAGATGTAGCTACTTCATGTACGACAACAATAGAAATGAAGCTGATGAAATATTGCAATAATAACTGTATAATGTTATCGTAAAATCGAAAACACCAAAATAATTTTTAAAAGCAATTTTGCATTTAATCTAACAATTACAAAAAAAAAACAAAAAAAATACTCTCGATTATTTGTATACCCGTACGAAGGGTGCTTAATATGCTCGAAGGGTATACTAAATTTGCCTGATTTAGCTATGTATGTCAATTTGTCAGTCCGTCCGTTCCAACGATAACTCAAAAACTAATTGAGCTAAGTTCACCAACTTTTCACAAATAATCTATTATAGTAAATTCTAGAACCCTATTTAAATTAGACATGATCGAGGTACTAGTTTGGGTAGCTGCCGTACAACTTCAAAATTTTTTTGCCTATATCTCAGAAATTATAGAATCTATGGTAAGGAAATTTCGCACATGCGAATATATTATTAGGACCATTGTGTTTGATAAAACTCACTGAAATTGCTTGGCTCCTTTTATCTTATATCTTACAAGCTGTTTAACCTACAATATGCTGCCATACAATTTCAATAGTAGTTTGACCATATCTTAGAAAATATTGAAATTACATCACTGAAATTTTGCGTTAATTAATATGGCAACATGGAAACTTAAAGTCGTAATCTGTCCCATAGTCAGGTATGGCATGTTTACTCGCACATAGGATAAAAAATTTGGACGGACATTACAGAGTTGACATGGTCAATTCTCTTTTCATACATCTGTAGGACACAATAATTAGTGTAATAGGCGCAATACCTATTTATATATATGTTCTTGTGATTGTGTGTTTTTTAAATAGTAGATTCCATGTCGCATCTCAATGTAAACAATATTTAGTAATCATGTGGATTACAGTATAAAGCAATGTGAAGAACATTTCGTCGGCAATTTTTTCATATCTCTGTAGGTCAGTTCGTAGAGCGTCCGCGTAGAAAGTGGTAGGTCACTGGTTCGAGTCCAGTTCGAGTTTAACTCTTTCCTTTGATTACGTCATCCATCTGTTCTACAGTTGTTAATATTAGTTAATATTATTATGCCATACTCTATATTCTCATTGTATTAGTAATCCAATGGGAATTATTATTAATTTTCAAAAAAATCTATTCAACAATAGTTTATTTTTTAAAAAGAGGCGATTGATTTACAAAATAAATTAAGGAATTTATAGTTTCTTTAATACTTAGTTCTTAGCAAATTAAAAAAGTAAAATTCGCTAGGTACAACAACTGCTCAGTTCATCTTTTTTTAGTAAAATTATTAGTCACATGCAAGATAGTTTTATCTTAGTATCTTCATCTTAGCAGGATAGTTTTAGCTATCGTATGCTTCACGATAGCTAAATGTATTATCCGAGACTATAGTTAAATTTTGAGCAGAACATGATCTTACTTAAACCATAGAACATGATCTTACTTAAACCATAGGTTTTAAAAATCAACCCTTCTTTAATGTATTTATAACTCATATTCGTTACATAAACCTTCATTGTTTTTAATACTTGATAAATTTTCCTGAAATGGCAATTACACGTTCCATTAAAATACGGAAAAGGGGTGAAAATATTAAGACACTAGAGGAGAGTGTTATTTAGACGAAAAACGGAATAGTATAGGTTTGATATACCGTGCTCATTTCATGTTATTTTTAAAAAAATGTTCATTATCTAAAAATAAAGAAAAAAAAAATCTAATCTTCATAAGTTTTAGGATTATTAAAAAATATTCAATAAATTTCTAGTTTCCCTAGATGCAGTGTTGTTCAATACAGTGTTGTTTAATCAATATTTTGTTGAAGGTCAGGATAGTTTTTGCAAAATAATGGAAAATTTTTTAATAATTTCTTTTTTTATTATTAAAAACTTTTCGTTGTATTGTAAAGTACTTTTATATTCTCTTCGTATGTATGTATGTCGTATATGAATAGGTATAAAATAAAAGATATTGATTTGAAAATAAAATTAAATTGATTTCGCATATAAATTAAAACGATGTGGTCATATATGAATAAAATGCATCAGTCAAATATGATGTAAAATGAAACCACAAAATATGGGTCGTTGGATGGGTAAAATATATGTTTGTATAATGTATGTTATGTATGTATTTCTGCATATTAATATTGAACCTTACAAAATTGATAAGGTGTGTTAACCTGTTAAGAGGTTATGTCAATTACAAAAGTTCAAAGTCATGCCGAAAAAGAAAATTGCATTTGTTATGAAAGTTAAAGTTAAGCAGAAAACGAGAACTTCCCTGTTAATAAAATTTCGTAAATTCGCGTCTTCGCTTGAAATTAATTCAGCACAGTACATCGAGCTGTTTAAGAAAATCTAATCGCTTTACAGGTTAAACAATTTACTTTTTTATAACATTTTAAATTTATGTGGCAAAATGATTTTTTCAATAAAATCCAAAATAGGAATTCGGTACACTCCGCAGTATTTTCTTTCAAAATCGTTGTGTTCTATTGATGCGGAGAAGGGAACTACTTTACAGGTAATAGATTCATGAAAACCTATTTAAATGCGCAATATCAATATAATAATTCGATTAACATTTAAAATTGTTTCGCTGGTTTTCAACTCGACTTTCATTTAAAAATTTTTTAAGAATGACAAGAGAATCTTAAAATTGAATGAGGAACTACATAATAAAGTCCTTTTGCTTCGTTGTATGCACTGTATATCACAGACAGTTTAATATTCAAATTATTTAATAACAAAATGATTACGAAATCAAAAATATAAAAAAAATCAAGAACTGCTTTACACAATAGTATTTGTGCATTTACAAGGATAATTATTGAACATCTTATAATATCTAAAACCAAAATATTTGTTATAAAACAATTTATGCAAAATTTAATATACTAAAGCCTACCGTGTTATGGGAATACATACAAATTTAACAAATTACAACATTTAAATATCAGAGTTGCACCAGCTGCTATAGTTGTACAATTATCATGAATTCTGTGAGCGAATTAAAATAAATCATGTTATGTAACAGATGTTTAAGGTTTACAACACTAAATTCACATTTTATTAAAATTTTAACATTACATTGAAACAGAAATACATCATGGAAATATTTGTATGTTACCTGTATAA